TGATCAAAAGGAAAATGGGAGAAATGATGATAAATGAATAAGATTAGTTTGTAACTATTGTATACAATTACACAATCACAATACAATTGTAACTATATAGGTATTTTAGAAAATATTTGTTAAAATGTAATAGAGAAGGCTATGTAACTCATGTAACTCATATAGAATGTAGTTTGAGATAAGTAAAATCCCAAAACAGAATAGGCCTTGGGATAATTAAAGAATTGGCCTTAAAATGGACAAAACTGGGATGATTCTAGGTATCTATGAAATAATAAGGTTTATTTTTGGAATATAATGCTGGCTGCTATAACACAAGACTTGGGGTGCATGTGCAGCCTGTGGGGTTGTTCAAAGGACAGTGATGATGATGAGAAGCCTTGGCTGGAAGCGACCACTGAAAAGACAAGAAGACCCCTTAGCAGCAGGTGGAGCATGCACTATGCAGGACAGGGATGTAGATTTCAAGAACTGAAAATAAGAGGAGATTTATGGAAAATATTGATGAATATATATTAGCATACAACTAATATATATTTGTTTCTTGTACAGGAGGCAGGGTGAGAAAAATCCTCCCCATACCCCGATCAATCGGTTTTGCTTATGCTTTTATCTGAACCACTGCCAGATTTCTTTCTGTATCTGCTTGATTATATTTGATTGTATTTTTTTATATAAAATTGCTGCTCAATTAAAATTGCTGCTAAATCTTAATTTTGTGTTTTATTAAATTAGACATATAAGACCTCATTCATAACATATATAGAGGGAGAAAACTTACTTATAAGTACTTGTACTTACTTACATTTTAACATACATAAGTAATAATTACAGGGAGTTTGTGGTAATTTGGTATTACTTAGGTAAAGCAGATGATGATTAGAGATGACACAAGGCACGTGAAGTAGGGCTTTTCCTGAGGAGAAGATTAGAAGACACAGGAAACTATTTTTTCTTTCTTATATTAGGATGAAATAGTATGATCGTACCCAATTACCTTATCTAGACAAAAAAACATCCTTTATATTGTTACTTAAAATAAAGGGGCCACATGAAGATTCTAGCTTCAAACTTTACCACTGAACCTGTTTAATTAAACAAGATTGTTTAGTTATGGCTTCAATTTAAATAAATATACAATTTATATATTAATGTTTTAAAGATTAATCGTTATTCTTAACTTAAAATACATACCTTCTATTTTTTGCCATTTTTATTCTATATTCACAAGATCGTGATTCACCTACCTTTCATAAGGTAGGTAGAATTTGCCCTGTAATCACTGAAGTGAATTGTTCTTTATTTTCTCTTTGCATTATGATTAAGTAAAAAGAATCTTTTAGAAGAAAACCTACTCTTTTTGGAGTGGCTTTGTTGAACTCTCATGATTTACCAGCTAATGTTTCGGGGTGAAGAAAGAGCAACAGCAGCAATCCAATTTTTGAAAGAGGCTGGGAGCAGATGTAGATTTGGCTACAAGTTATCTCTGCTTTTCCAAAGACCATGTCCTCTTTTGTCCAAGAAGGAAGGGTCACACTACACAGCAGCATCCAAAATGTTAAAATATTAATCAAACAGATGATCTGTTGTTGAATTCTAAATCCTCTGTTTTTTATATAATGATTGCCCCTGATAGTTCTTGCTCCAGTTAGAGGACTGAAAGTTTTCAGAAATTATCAGTGCCAAGTTCATTGACTCTTTTTATGGACCAGTACATACTTGCTCACAGGGTGTTATGTATCACATGTTCACCAGAAGTGGAAATCTGACAATTTAAAAGCACTGTTAATATGGAATGACTTTGCCCTGAGGGAACAATGAATTTGGAAAAAGAATTACCATGCCAAAGATCTTGGGTTACCTCAGGTTGTAAGGGGTTTGAAATTCAGGAGATTAGAAAATTTCTTAAGACAAGGAAGATTAATAGTATCAGATGTAACAAGTATGCTGAATGATATATTTTCAGAGATCATTATCTGTAAATCTAGAGGGATCATAATGATAATCTAATCTATTATATACAACGGCAATAGGACTCAACCTAAATGCAATCCTGAACGGCAGAGATATTTTAACGTTTATTCTGAATGTTCATTCGTTCTCATTTTTAATTCACTAATTTAGAGTGCAGCAGGAGAAAAGAATAACTGCCTGCTTGGTCATATGCTGCTTCTAGGTGTGGGTTACCTGCAGTACAGGAAGGGTCAGGCAGAGCCACAGCTGCACTTGGCAGGTACATGCTGCAAGCAGGGCAATTACCGGTGGCTCTACTGGAAGTTAAAAAGTTTTAGGGCTAAAATGTGGTTACAAATATAGCCTGATGGATATGAAAGTTTTTTAACAAGTAAGTTTTTAGAAGAATTCATATTAAGTTCATATTAAATAGAACCAGTACCAACCTGTATCTATGATCAATAAAGCAAGGTCTCAGAGCAAGGTCATCACCTCTTCAGTGCCACCAGGCAATATAAAAGGTAGGAAGTCCAACAGAAACCTTCCTTCTCTCATTATTTAGCTTGTAAAAAACTGTGCACCCTTGACTTCATAATGTTTAATTAAATTAATCCACAATGATAACTTTGGGTAAGAGTGAGGATTTCAGAATAGGTACAGCTGACCAATTAATAAATTATATTAAAATAATGTGGGCTAACTCTTCAAAAAAAATGAAGATCAATCTCAAGACTGATCAATTAAGTTTAGCCTAACTACCCATACAGCCTAAGTAGAGGCTCACAGAAGACTGAAAAAAGATTTTTAATTCAGAGCTAGTCTAAAGAGAAATCTGATAGCAATCACAGATAAACAAGAGCAGAGACCAAACAAGGCATCCCCCTAAAACTGTAGGAGAACAGTCTGGAAAAGTTCAGTGAGAAAGTCTTTGTAAACAAAGTTGTTAGAGCATTAGATTAGTCCAATTTATGACTACAACCAAAAACTTAGGGTATAGTCTGAGGTGCGCTTTGATCTTACCTTGTGAAGCGACCTCTCTGAAAGGCAGCTGTACTGAAGAAATAAATGGAAAACAAAAGTGGTGCTGAAGCCACAGAAAACTAAGGTTTTCTGGGAGGAATAGAAAAGTTCGAAAGAAGGGTATTACATAGCAACAGTTTGCGACAAAACTCTGAAAAAACCTGCCGGAAGAATAAGAAGTGCATTGATATGTACAGGTGGGTATGTAAATATATAAAACATAGAGAGTTTGCAAATTTGTAAATTTGAGTGTCTTGAAATACCAGAATATTCGTTTCAAACAAAACAAATGGAAGCGTGGTAGGGACAGGCTAGTGTTCTTTGAGTCCATAATTAACTTGTGTCTGATTTTGGAGAAGAAAGCCACCTGGGAGGATAGAGGTTTCAACTCAAATAGTGATACAGCTGAATGAAGTGGCTGAACTCCATTTGCTTCACGTTTGCCATAAGGATTGTGTGGAAGTCAAACTTCCACAATCTCTAAATGAAGGCCAGATCTTTCAAAAGCCCCATTTGTCCCCTGTTTCTGATAACTGAAAAATTATGACAATACAATGTAAATAGCTGAAAAACTTTAATGCCCATCTGAAAAATAAAGATGAAAATTCTGAGACTGACTTATCCTACTCAACTCAGTGAAAACCTCACTGGAAAACCTTCCTTTTCAAAGCATCACACCTTTGACATAAAAATTTAGTCTGGCAGGTTTCCAGACTGATTTTAACAGCAACAAAATACTAGGATTACCTATCAGTCTTTTTTGCTCCTTGCTGGCTTTATGCTAACTGCATTTCTCCACTTTTTTTTTCCCTCCACGGTCTGTGTGCTTGAAGTCATTGTGGGGATTTACGTTAGTCCTTGTGCAGGGTTTTAACTAGGCTGCACTTTGTCACAGAGACTGACGAGTGTTCACGCTGCAGACTTGCTGTGGATGCTTGGAGCTGCGAAACGCGCACGTGGTAAATGGCTGCTTTCCCTACGCGGGCGTGCAAGCATTACTTGCCTGGGCAATCCATCTGCCTGCCTTGGGAGAGTGCCTAGTGCAGCTCGACAAAAGCAAGCTAAGTCTCAAAAGAAAAGACTGATAGCTGCAGCAGAGCGTTTCTGCAGCTGAAATCTTACGCTGGTAACACAGACACAGAATGCGCACAACTGTCTGGCAGGCTGCTGCGCTCTCTAGAGGGAACTCATAGCAAGGGAAACTGTATTCATTCCCAGGGTATTAATGCATTCCCAGGTGACTGTTAGAATAGTGAAAATGTTACAGATGTTGATGGTACGGTGTTTCAATAAAATACAGGGAAAATTGGCTAAAGAGATGATCTTTGGATCAAAGCACATCATTTTCTTTACTACTTGCCAGCTCATTTACCAGCCTTTCTCTCCATTCTCTCTAAGACCCATTTCTCTTCAGCCTTTCAGTGCCAGTCTATGCCAATACCAACACATTCGGAAGATAATAACACAAAACAGAATCTGATAACTAGTGAATATATGTGCAGACATAAGAGAGTGTAACACAGAAGAATAACATTATTACTAGGGAACATCAGATGGTGGAAGATATGATGGCAGTTATAGGAGTTCCAGGAGGATGTTTTCATTAATGAATAACAAAAAAAGGTATATTTAGGAAACATAAAATATAAATCTATATAATATATTGATATATTATGAGATTAGTACTACCAAGTGGATTAAAAAGGCTTTGAAATAATAAATACAGTCCAACTGTCACTTAAAAAAAAAACGTACAGAAGGAGTGGCATTTCTGTGTCCACAGCTTATATCAGTATTTAAAAAGAGAGATCATTGACTTACAAATAAAAATATTTCTTTTTTCCTTTCACAGAATGTGAGCAATATGATATTTATTATACTATATTAAGCTGAACTGATTTTACCTATTTCTGTAAGTTTTAAATTTCTGCTAACAGAACTACAGTCTACTCTGTCCTTCATACAACACCAAACCCTTTACAGGAAGGTAAACATACAGTAGGAACAGATTTAACTGCAGTACTTACTTTTGCCTGGTAATGAAATGTATGTTGACCCATGCCAGCTCATGAATGCTTCCTGAAAAAGGACTTGAAAATCCAGCATTTCAAAGTGTTTCTCATACATTTAAAGAAGGAAAAAATCCAGAAAGAAAGAGGGGGAAAGACCGAAAAGAAAGAAAAACAAAGAAAAAGCCTGTAAGCTTTAGAGCTCTGACTGCAAAATATTCAGTCTGGCAGCTCTGGGAGAAATACAACTCTGTGTACTTGTACATGCTCACCCCATTAGAGGAGGAGTCAGTTTTGCAACACTTATGTTCCTTGCTTCAGCCAAAACAGTGATTCTCTTTAGTGCAAGCAATGTCTGTAGTGTGATGGCTGTAAAGGTGAGAAGTGTACTCTGGAGTGCAGGAATGCAGCAGCAGAAAAAGAATAATTGGGAGCATCAGCTACATACTCTACAGTTTGTTATGATTCCTTTTGAATGCTTATTGCCCATGATTTTTTTTTTCTGAGGGAAACCTAATACCCCTTCAACATAAACTGCTTCCATAATGGTTTTTGTGTACCAGTAGTTAATGTTTTATATTTTAGAATAGCAGATTTGGTTTTTTTACAACAGAGTGAAAGGTGTTGGCTTTACATCAAAAAGCTGATTAAACAGAAGGAAAAAAAGTATTTTTTTTAGTTTTGAGAGCTATTATGCAATTAAGCTGTGAATTTTACTAACATAATTATTCAGTAGTCATCTAGCTCTACTTAACTAAAAACATTTTTACATATTCTTATAAATGCTTCTACTGAAACATATTTTTATATTCTCTGTATTCAAGCCAGTGAACCAAATATAAAATGAAATGTGTGTATGTGTAGTGAAGATTCATTTAAAGAAGAAGACTGATCAAGATGTCTCTTTTTCATAGTGAAAAGGGATTTCAGGGGTGTGGATGCTATGTTGTTACTTGAGTCAAGTCTCTCCAATCAAAGTCAGAATTGCTCATGTCTTTCAAGTCTCTCCAATCAAAGTCAGAATTGCTCATGTCTTGTGACCAAATGGACATTCTGCAGACTATTCAAAACAATTGGTAATCATAGGAACAGTGTCTTGTCAAACATCTGTGTTCCTTGAAAAATATTTTCAGGTCAGGAGTATGTGCCTTGTGACCTATCAACACAGAAATTATAAAACTTCAGGTGTGCTCCTTGAGTGGAGTTTGGCTGTGCTAAGCACTAGCTGCTGCTCAGAAGATCAGTGTCAGACTGCACCTCACTTGCACCATTCCCATCATGTGTGCTGTGTTATCCATTTGACTCCATGGTCAGACAGCATAGGAAGCCCAGCTGGTACTGGAAGACAATTCCTTTTTTTTTTCCCTTCTTATTTGTAAACCTCTGAACAGGCTTACTGAGATCAAACAAATGCTAGAAACAGAATGTATAGGTGACAGAAAACACTCAGCTGATGGTATCCCTGAAATTTATCACATGCCCATAGCATTCAGCCAACTCTGAGCAAAATCTACCAGTGACTCCCTGAGTTGAAAGGGATAAAATTGCTCCTGATAATCAGGGAATAGTTGCTTGATCAGATGTTATCACCTTAAAAATAAGAAAAGGAACACAAAGTAGAATCTAATACATATTTAACCAGTTATGTAGCAGTTGTCTTCTTTCTGCATCTGCTTGACTCTGCTAAACACAAGCAGATCAAAACAAGGAAGAGAGAATGAGAAAGCTAAGATTTGTATAGGGAGGAACTTTTAAAATGAAGATGAATGAAGCAGTATTACTATTACTGTCTAAATTTCTATAAGAGAAGGATAAATTGTTAAGGTCTGCATGTAGAGTTCTGCCTATAATCAAAACAGGATTTATAGCCCTCGAATATGAATGATGGGGAAAACGGAACAAAAAGTAAAACACTAATGGGTTAGTAGTGAAAGATGAGGGGTAATAGTGAAGTACTAACACTGGGATCAGTAAAAACGATAACTTAAGACATTTATACCTGTGCTATCCAGGTCATAGCCAGCTGACGTAATGCAGCCCTGGTAACTGTGGCAGCAGGCAGGCAGATAGCTCTTAAATATTTCCCCATGATTTTGAATTAGCTTTTTCAGCTTTTAATGAACATTGTGTCCCTGCGGCTACACTGCTAGCAATATTTTAGCCAGTCAGGCAAGTCAATACAAGCACACTCAGTCTCTGATGGAATACTACCAAGAAAAGGCAACTCTGATCCTAGGAGCACTGGATTAAGGTGACTATTTTAAGGTAGTAGTAAAATCCCACATGCACAAAAGACAGGTCACTTACATTCAAAACAGTCTTTCAAATCTCTTGTTTACTCAGAAGAAAAGGAAGGTCACACAGATGATGTAAAGGCTGTAAAGCCTAGCTATTAAAAGGTGACTGACAGAACTTGGCTGGGTTAGTGTGACAAAGTAAATGTTGAGACAGAAAATGAAACAGGCACTTACTTGTCCCTATAAAGGTAATGTATGTCTATAAATATGAAAGAGAGTAAGCACTGGAAAAGTGCAATAGCAGTTTAGGCTAATGAACAATGCTGGAGCAAAAAGAGCAGGTAGAAACAGAGCACACATAAAAACAGACAGTAAAAGGATACTAACCACTGGGGCATGAAAAATTGAAGCAGACTTTCAGAAGGGTAAAAAAAATCACAACTACTTCTGGAATAGATCTTGGCCAGTCTCTGAGGGTATTATCAGCTTGACTCATCCCATCTTATTCAATTTACTGGTGTATCAATTTCAGAAATCTGGTTTAAGTTAGGATTTTAAGTTGCTCAATCATCAACAGAGGAAAATTCCTCTGTGGCTAATCTAGAAGCATAGCAATTTTTTTTCTAGAGATTGATTAATTAAGAAGAGTTTGTAGGCTTGGAATTTGTTAAAATAACCTACTAAATTCTAAAAAAAAAAAGTCCGTAACACCTATAGGTCATTTAAGAAAAGCAAGATTTAGTAAATTAAGAGTGCAAGGGCCTAACTTCATTTTCAATGTAATGACATTTGTACCAGTATAACTGCAATAACCTGAAGTTATTCTGCATTGGAGCTCCATCAGAGTTCTGACATTTAGGCAGACCAGGAAGCACATAGGATCAGAAGAAAGGCAGGAAAGACGATAAAACTTGGAAGAACCAGTCAAAGAAATCAATAAGGTTTCAGGAAAAAACTTTACAGATGGGAAAAATGTGAAAAGGAGCATGCCAGGTAGTGAGGGGCATTTACTTCAGAGGAGTACAGAGAGAAGACTGCAGTCTGTTTTTAGTTCTCCTACAGCCCTTACCTATCAAAAACTCAGCCTTCCTTAGAGAGTCACTGTTGAAGGGTTGTGGCAGTTTGCCACTGCCATTCCTCACCCCCTCAGCAATTCAAGGAAAAAAAAGGGCAGCAGAGGAAATCAAACAGGAAAACAGAGCAACCCTCTGTTTTTAAATGTAGAAATACTCTAAGAAACAAAATAAGAAGCTATGGAACAACAGAGGGAACAATATTTTTTCTGCTGCTGTCTGCTTTCTCAACAATGACCTCCTCTGAAGATCAGCTGCCAAAACCATCTGATGTGTCTTTCTCTAAAGACAAAATGTACTTTCAGGACATCTGTTATAGAAGAAAAGACATGGCAGGTGCCATGGCTGCTCAATTCCTCTCAGACAAGCAGTGTGCCTCTAAAGTCCTGGCCTTCTCAACACGTAGAAAGCTCACCCGAGAAATACAGCTAGGAACCCAGAGGACCGGGACGTCCCTAGCACAATGGTGATCATCCTTTTGCCACTGCTGCAGCCAATGCTATCTGAGAAAGGCCTAATGATGGTTCTTGTTTACCCAGAACTGCTCCTAGGCCAGCAAGTCCAGAACACTCTGCATGTATTTCATGTTATCAAAAATATATTCCTTGTTCCTGGAGTTTTGGTCATAGCCACAAAGCACTGATGCTGGTATATTTTCAATTTCTGTTCTTAACATGTACCACATTTCCAGTCATAATGTCTATGAGTCTTCTCCATGTATCCTTTGTGCCTCTTGCAGAAAAACACAACCACTGCAGGAGCCAGGTCTGTAATCCTTCTCCAGCCCTCAACAGCAGTCTCCACTTAGGGTACTTTATTATTGCACTCCTTTTCTTGGGATGTGCGACACTGCCACTTGCTTCAGAAATCCCTGGTCATTCTACTCTCAGACCAGCTGGTGATCTTTGCATTAACACGCAGTGGGATGCTCCCACAGGGATCTCAGTTGGTGTGACCTCCATGTGCATGGACCACACTGGCAAGCAGGAGCCAGGCAGCCATGACAAGCCTCAGGATCACAACTGTCACCTCAGCCATCACCTCATCACCTCAGGTGCAACTGATGGTGGCAATGTGGAGGCTGACAGGAGCAAAGGAAGGGAGACTACTTGGTCCTGAAGGATCTGGCACTTTCTGGGTGAGCCTGTCATGTGAGTGTGACATGCAGAATTTCTACCAGGAGTGAGCACACATCTTGCATAAAAGTTGTCCATCAATTAGTGAAAAATACTCCACACTTGCTCGAGTCTTCAGCCACTGCAACTCATGATCCCTGTTGGTGTAAATAGAGAAAATGGGTCTCCTAGAAGGTGAGGGACAATTCAGAGACCCAACTATGTGTTGGGTCTCTAACAGTGTTGAAGAAAACTGAAAATTTTATAAGGCCTGAAAGAATTAATAAATAAATTAATTAACCAAACAGTTTAGTTTTACAGAAGCTATTTTTATAAGATTTTTTTCTTTTGTTTTGAAACAAAATCAAATGATAAACACATCTCCAGAATTTAAATAAGAAATGTAGCTGCCATCACTGAGAGCTGCTCTTCAGGAATCATCTTTGTCTTATGATGTTCAATATATATACAATACACTTTGATACATTTTTTTAGTATAGACCATATATTAATATACAGACTGTATATATACAGACTGTATATATATATCATATGCTAATTCAGGCTTGTATCCCTTGCCTTATAAAATTCTTTTGAACAAGGCTGGAATGTTCATTTGAGTTTATCTGTTAATACAGATAACTTTTCTAGGCTGGGATCATTGTATGAAGTGACAGCTTTCTCCTTCATTAAGCCAAGCTTGATTACTTGACTACCTCCTAAAGAAATTAATGAAATGTTCCTATTTTTTTTAATTGCCTATTTGTAACAAACCCATAGCTTTCATGGATGCTTTCACTGAGTGTCTCATTCTCTTGCAGCTGGAACATAGTCCATTATGGTTATTATCAAAACAAAATTGGATCATAGTGGAAGAAATGCAGATTGCATCCTCCACTTGTATTTAAATTTATTATTTCTCATAGTTCTGTGCCAAAAGTTCTCACAGATCAATTTAAACATGCAGAGAAGGAAAAAAAAACCATGAACTCTATTTATTTTCTAGAAATACGTTTTATACGTTTTCTTCTTGTAAGAACATTCATGAAAGGACAATGAATAACATTCTTCTCAACTAAAATTTTTTGCTTAAATTATTATCAAATTAATTTTTATATCACAACAGCTTTGTTGATTATATATATATAGATATAAATACTGAGTTAACAACTCAGGATGTAACTGATAAACAGTTATGCCATGAACATAAAGTAGTATTTATCCAATAACATGGTATTGGTAGTATTGATAGTTAAATGAGAAACCAGCTGACCTTTCCAGAGCTTAAATGTTCTTCTTTCTCTGATCTCTATATGAAGTTACACTACACAAGTAATTTCTTACTGGATATTTGTACCATTACAGAAAGCCTATTTGCATTTCTAAACCAGAATGCATTTCCACAAAACCCTACATCTAATCAACACAGTATGTCCAACAGAATCTCACATTGTCTGAAAGTACAAATAGAAGAAGAGGTGGTTGCAAAAACAGGCTTTCAAAGGACTTGTCTCCTACTTATTTATATCTCAAACAGATTAATCTCTTAATACATTCTAGGAAATGGTCTCATTCATTTTTTAGGGCAGATAGAGCTTTTTAAAAGACACTAAACACAAACAATACCATATTTCTAATTTACATGACTGCCTTATGAGCATTAGCTGTAAGAGTGTGTGTGTACTGCTTTGTATTCTTGTATTTTATGCTCTTCAAATGCAAAAATACTAGAATCTCATTGAGTTGTTTGATCCCTAAATCAATCAGAAATTTTAACAGATGAGGACATGTATGTTACATCAATAAAGTATGTAATATGTAGGAGGTAGGACCATGACTCCATTCAGATATGAACTTGGCCTAATGTACATCACATGCCATTCTACTGATGGCCACTGATGGCAGCACCTCTGACTGATGTTTAATCATAAGCATCCCTGCAGTAGAATGACTTGCTACTTAATTATGAGATGTATCTATATTAAAAGAAAATTCTTCCGTAAGAATTTTTTCCAGTATGTATATTAATACCATTATGAAATAGAAATACTCCGTCCCAAAAATATATTGCTATTCAAAATCATGCTATATGATTATTAAGAATCATACTGCTGTATAGGTTTGCATGGCAAGGGCTTGGTAGTGGGGGCTACAGTGAGCAGTTGTCAGGACCTTTCCCCATGTCCAACAGAGACAATGCCAAACAGACCCAGGATGAACCCACTGCTGGCCAAAGCCAAATCCACCAGTGACAGTGGCACCTCTGGGATAATGTATTTAAGAAGGTGGAAAAATTACTGCCAACCACAGCCTCAAGAGAGGATTCAGAGTGCGTGAGAGGAACAGCTCTGCAGACACAGGGTCAGTGAAGGAGGAGGGGCAGCAGCTGCTCCAGGAGCCAGAGCAGAAATTCTCCTGCAGCCCCTGGTGCAGCCCATGCTGAGGCAGCTGTGCCCCTGCAGCCTCTGGAGGAACCCACACCAGAGCAGACCCCATGGGAAGTCCATGCTGGAGCAGGTTCCTTGGCAGGACCTGTGACCCTCTGGGGGACCCATGTTGGAGGAACCTTCCTGAGGGACTATAACCTGTAAAAGGGGGTTATGACTGGAACAAGTAATGGAGAACTGCAGCACTGAGGATTCATATTGGAGAATTTTGTGGAGGACTGTCTTGGACTCCTTGTGGAGGACTGTCCCTGCTCCAGCATGGGAGAGACCCTGTGCTGGAGCAGGGGAAGAGTGTGAGGAAGTGGCAGAGACAATGTGTGGTGCAAGTGACCATAACCCCCATTCCCCATGCAACTCCTCTGCTGTGGGGGAAGAAGTAGAGAAATCAGAAGTGAAGTGGAACCAGGATAGATGGGAGGGGTTGAGGGAAAATGTTTTACTTTCATTTTCCTTTGTTCTCTCATTTGATTGGTAATAAACTAATTTTCCCCAAGCTGAGTCTGTTTTGCCCATGACAATAATCACTGTGTGATCTCTCCCTGTCCTTATCTTGACCCATGAGCT